ATTCTCCTGTGTGCCATGCTCTGAAATCTGTTCCTTATCATCTGAGCCCCAGTCTCTCTGTAACCAGAGCAACACAATCACACCGCCAGGCTTGGGGCTAAAGGCTCCCCTATCCTAGCATTCTGTGTTACAACCAAGGGTATCCTAAAATCTCACAAGCAAAATATGGGGATGATGCCCTCTTCCACTATTGTTCCTTAGCTGATACTGTACTAAAAGAATACTCCCTGTTGTTCAAGGAAACAATCTGTGGATGCATTAACATGTGTAGCTATTCATTGCACAATCCTCCATGAATGGTTTTCTTTCCTTTGAAAACCAGTTAATTCAATGCCAGTAGGCATATCTCATGACAGAAAACTATTCGTTGGGTAAATTGTTACTTCCTTTTATTGAGGAAAGTCTTAAATTCCTCCAGTGGTAATAGTAATTGGATCATTTGGGGATCTAATATTGTTAGAGAAACTATCACATTTTTTGCATAGTATAAAATGATATATATTGCCATCATATTTTCCATGCCTAATATTATTATAAAAATTATAGTCTTGTTCAACCCAAACATCTTTATGACTGTTTTTTCAAGGTCATTCCCATCTGTGTAAAATCAAAATTATATATGCTGTTTCCCATGTTTGTGGTTTCCTTCATTGGACTTGTTAGGAGGTCCAACAATTGCTCCTTGGGTTCTTTATAATATTGGTTGCTTTTCTTATATTTTTTCCAGATTTCAAAACATCCTTTCTGAGGAGCAATGAACAGAACTGGATGCTTATTTTGAGTGCTGTCTCAGCCCAAGGCTTTTTGAGAGCACTTGGTTATTATATTGGCAGTTTTATTTTCTGTTTTCTCCCTAATGATTTCAAGGATTAATGTGGGTTGACATTTTCATGGAACTGTTGATTCCAAATTCCCTTTCTTGATCTTTTCCAATCAGTTACTGCCAACTCAGCCCCACTTTTGTAAGTATGAAATCTGAGGGCAGGAAGTGTTGCAACAGGATGCCATTGCTTTGCACTTGTTTACATTGAACTGGATTTTCAGTTTAAACCCCATTCACTACAGGGGGGGATTTTTTGAAAGCTCTCTCTAATCCTTTTTTAATGTTACCAAACTGAGTAAATTGATATCATCAAAAAATTTGGCAACTTATCAACATTTGAAATAAAACAAAACTGCAGTCCTAATGCAGTTTCTTGATAGGCCCTATATTAGATACTTATCTAATCTGAAAGCCTTTTACTCTCATTTACTTTTCATTCTTTAACCATTAAGTGAATCGCCTGCTTGTTAAGCAACACCTCATACAACTACAACTATCAGTCTCCTGCCAGCTTCCCCTTTGATTATGCTTGTTGGAAGCCAACTGGGAAGGTCACAAATGACAGTCACATGACTGTGGGATGCTGCAAGCTATTGTTCTTAAGAACAAGCCAGATGCCAAGTATCTGGATAATGGTCATGTGACTGTAAGGATGCTGCAACAATTGTATGTGCAAGGACTGGTTGTAAGCCACTTTTCTCATCATCATCATGGGACTTCAAGGACTACCTGTAGATCTAAAACTGGGAGAAAGAAATTGAAGAGTTTCCAGAGGCAAATCCAGAGAACCAGTGAATACTTTGTAGTGGTTAAGGTACTGAAGCAGGAGCTGGGAGGTTTAAATTCCCCCTCAGCCATGAAAGCTCATTGAAAATTATTCTCAACCTAATCTACTTCATAAATTAGTGTGAGGAAAATAGGACCGATCGCAATGCAAATCATCTTAAGATCCTTTACAAAAAGCTTGAATATAAGTGAAACCTGGATGGTTTTTATGTCCCATCCATGTGAGAATTGCCTTACTCATATGCACACAAGACATTCATCCTCATAATAGTTTATTAAATATATATATGCTGCCCAATTCCCAGGGACTTGTCATATTATTTTCCCTCAAAAATCTGTATCCTTGGATTGGGTTTATTTCAGGTTTTGGGGCAGTCGGAGTTTTGTATTTGCCAAGGACACTTTGTTTTCCAGTATTTTACTTATAGAATGCTACTAAGGGAATGGTGCATACTGTTTATGCTAGCAGTAAAAATCAAATGGCAGGTTTTCAATCAAGAAATTGAGGGGGAAATGAGTACAAATGAGTTTGGTTTATCTAAGATTTGGTTGTGAAATTTGCCAGCAAAATATATCCAGAAAATGAAGAATAAACAAAGGTAGATCTAAATTCCCGACTTTCTGAAGGTTTTATTTTTTCTGTCCAGTATCAAGTGTACTGAACATAGTTCAAATCTGTACATTCTACACTATTCACAGTAAATTGTTCTCTTCAAAATCTCCCCAGATTTCCACACTCAAAAGTACACATGCATGCATTTAATAAGCAACCCAAGAAAAGGTTGCCAACCCCATCTTGACTGCTTAGAAAACAGCCTTTAGTGGAGCTCAGCAAATTCTTCACTTGAAGTCTCTGAATTGCTGTTTACCAACAAAATCACCTCAGGCTTGTTTTTTTAAAAAGGATTATTCTCTGTTTTTGGAAAGGGAGTAAAATTCAAGCTATCGGTCACTCTGAGAACATTTTGTAGAATGCAGTAATTGTATGAAAAACCTTGGAATCAGTCACCAGGCACTCAATGCTCTAAATAAAAGGACACTCTTCTTGAATGTTAATTTCCACCAGAGTGTGACTTGCCATTTTTAGAGTAGATGTGTGTGAGATCTGCTCCTATGATTGATAGAATATTATCATCAGTTGGGTTTATTTATTTCAGTGAAGACTCGTTAAAGTTTTACCTTCTACACGAATGCTTTCTTACCCCCATTGTTGCCCATCCCTCCTCATCTATTATAACGTAGTTGAAATTTTGGGATTGTTTGCCATTCTTCTGTTTTGCTTTGCTTTTATAACATGAGCCTTTTCTTAAATTGCTGATGTGTGCAATAGTTTGGAAGTTTGGTTGACTTCAAGAAGCACTGAAAATATCGAGAAAGCAATTCTCAAGTCACAGAAGTGGGTGAGGAGATGTGGCAGAGTCTCTGTAAATTAGTTCCAAATGGAACTCAAGTCTGCTCTGACATCTCCACTCATTCCTGTGCCTCTGAGAATTCAAATGTCACCTGTCAGCATACATACAGCCACAGGCAATTTAATCACTGTCATTTTGCTAACAAGAGTTTAAGAAGCCACTAGCCTGGAGTATTTACTGAGAATAATCAGTGCCTGACATTGAAAATTGCATTGGAGTTAAGGGTAAAAGGCTAGTGTCCCCACTGTCTACTTGGGAACAACAAATATCTCTGGCATCCTTGTAAGGCAAATATTAAACTGTTGGGGTTAAATAATATCTACCAGACATTGGCAAATTTTGTCTCAGAAGACTGTCCGTTTATCAACATTTAAATGGTTCTTCCCAATGTAACCCAGGCAAAATAGATGAAATACATGTGTGGCAACCTCCCTTCTTCCTCATACTTTAAAGACAAACCACAGTTTGTATGCATTTATTAGAATATTAATAAATATTAATATTTATTAATATTGCTTAACGCACAATGTTTAATGCATTGTAAGCCGCCCTGAGTCTTCGGAGAAGGGTGGCATATAAATCAAATTTAAAAAAATAATAATAATGTGTATCTCATCCTTCAACTTCACAGAGAAACATAAGTAACTAAAACATTACAAAAACATAGGAAAACAAAATAACATTTGTTTTCTGATAACAGAATTTGTATCTGATAACAGATACAAAAAAATCACATGTAACTAAAAGTTGAGAATTGGGATGCAGTGCAAAATACCAGAGCTGATCAAAATTCTGTCTGAAGTTGTCTTCAGTTGCCAGAAAAAGCTTTAAAAGATAGGAAATCAGACCTTCAGAGAGAGAGAGAAAATGCTTCCTTGGAGTATTTTGGGGCGCCATCACAAAAATGATACATCACGTGTGCTGATTAATTTGTACCTTATTCATTTTAGAACAAAGAAAAATAACTTTCCAGTTTTATGTATTGGCAGGAAAGTGGTCCAAAGACACTAGGATACAGACTGGGTAGAACGTGGGTTTAAAAGAAAATTATTTTGATTTCTTCCTAGATGCATATTGCTAACAGTGCTTTTTTATTTTCATTTCCTCTTTTGAAATGGGGGTAATATACCTACTTCGTTGCATTTCCACATCTGAAACCTTTTGGCCACAGCTGTTATGTGAACATTAATTACAGTAATAACCAAGAGAACTCCCAAACTGCGTTTAATTTCAAGTAGGGGAGACCCTATTGAAGAATGCAATAAACCCCCTCGTTAAGAAAATTAACCACCACCCAGGAAGGAAGGAAGAAAGGAAGGAAGGAAGGAAGGAAGGAAAGGAAAGAAAAAGAAAGAAAGAAAGAAAGAAAGAAAGAAAGAAAGAAAGAAAGAAAGAAAAAGAAATCCTCTGCCTTGTCTAAATTAAACTTTTAATGATTGCCTTCAAGCACATTGTGGACAGCCATTTTCCCAATAGAACTGTGTGACAAAGGAGATACTTTAATTGGCCAAGTAGAATGGTCCAGAGGCAGCAAAAAAGGCTCACCTTAAAAAAAAAATCTTGCACCCTTACAGCCTATTTATTACATGGCTAGCGACTTCTTTGCCCAATCATATCATGTTCTGTGTTGAGTCCGAATAAAGATAGGGAGTTGTTCACCTCCTGGCAATTCCATTTTCCCTATGTGGCAAGAGACTTTGATGTAAACCCATGCTTATTTAATACATTGGTTCCAAGATGTTTATCCAGAAAAGGCTAACAGGGCAGTTGTAGGCCTACTTAGGAGATTTTGGCCTATGTAGAGTAGCTGGAATAGTCTTAATATCCCCTAAATCCCACTGGTCTTACTTGCTTAGCTTTCTTAAAAGAAAGAATGTTATCTCTAATGCACAGCTTGACTTTTTTTTCATGCCAGTGGTTTTCTCAGAAGAAAACTGTAATAGGAATTGCAACTTGACCACTAATGTCATCTTTTGCAGAACCATAAAAGTAGAGGTGTATGACTGGGATCGAGATGGCAGGTAAGTAACATTTAGTTCCTTGCATTTAGTCATTTTTTAAAAAAAGGAAAACTACATTGATAAAAATTAAATGAAAAGAAAATGCAGCAAGAACATATAGCATACTTGAATTTATGGAGCTTGAGGCAAAAGGGCCCTTGTCCCCCACAAAAGAGGAAAGACTTACTATCCCAGTCTTCCATATGTATTGAAACTAGAATTCCAGCTGTGATGTTGAAAATGATGAGAATTATAAATCCAAACACCTCATCTCACCGGCCCTAGATTTGGAAAGGTTGGCTTTGCCTTATGAATCACTTTATTTAATAAATAGTGCATTGTCTAAGTAAATGACAGGAGAAGAATGAAAAGTAGACTAGACTAGAACTCCATATACTGGTAGCTGGACCAAAAATATACAAATTAAGGAAGTGAGGAATAGGCAGATTTTCCACTGATTGGCTATGACGTTTTATTGCTCCTCATCTTGGACCATCAAGGTATAAAGAAATAGGATTCTTTGTTGTATATCACCTCTCACAATCTTATTTTCTGTTAACAGTCATGATTTCATTGGAGAGTTTACAACCAGCTATAGAGAACTGGCACGAGGACAAAGCCAGTTTAATGTCTATGAGGTGAGTAGCTTCTCGAGGTGCCCCTTAATATCAGCATCCAAAGTTAATTGATATTGATGGATGACTGAAAAAAATGGTTGAAATGATTTAAAAATTCTTGTCTTGAGCAAGCAGCCAGACTTTATGATCCATCTGGTCCATTCTATTAAGACCCCTGCATTCTGTGGTGATTTGATTAAAACCATAGGTTTTTTTTCACCATGTGCCATCACTCTGCTGAACACTTAATTCCCACAGCACTGTCTCACTTCTCATCTTTTCTCATCTTCTCATCTTTTCATCTTTCCTACTATCTTCTCCTATTGGTTTCTTATGATTTATCAATTGTTGTTTTGTAACTTATGATTAATGATTGTAACTATGATTTATGATCTATGGCCTATTCCTTGCTATTTATACTGTATGTACTCTATAAGTTTATGCACCAGAGACAAATTTCTTGTGTGTCCAATCACACTTGCCCAATAAAAATTATTCTATTCTATTCTATTCTATCCTATCCTATCCTATCCTATCCTATCCTATCCTATCCTATCCTATCCTATCCTATCCTATTCCATTCCATTCCCAATAGTTACATACTCTCCTTAAACTATATTTTTGTACTTATGACGACCTTTCTCATCAAAATAACTAAATTGAGCTGGATGGTTTCTTGTCATTTAAGGTGTGAAATTGTAGAAAACAGTAACATAAGCCTTAAAATAGGCTTAACTTAATTTTTTAGAAAGGCAAATTAAAAATCCCCCTTCCTCGAATTCAAGACTTCATTTATCAACTTTGCTCATCTTCATGATGAATTATACTACTTTTTCCTGGGGCTTCCTCCCTAGGGTTTTTCCAAAGCATAGATCGGGGTGGGGGGGCGAGTTCTACTGGAACATCAGTTCCTCAGTTTACTACTCTCAACATACATTGGACTAGTCCCACACTCCATATTCTTAAAGGGACTTGAGCACACAACACATTTGTTGGGCAGCTGGTTGGGGAAGATTGTGTTAGGAAATTCCAGCTTAAATTGAATTAAAATGAGTAGGAGTTACATAAGACCACTATTAATTCAATAAGGTTTCTATAGACTGTGATCTGAAATATCTTTTAAAAAATAATTGAGCAGCAAATGGTACCCTTTAGCTATCCAAATTATAGGAAGCTGAACCCAAAGACTGGTAAAATATTTTATTACTGTAAGGGGAGGAAAGATCAAAGATCATCTTTCTCCCAAGCTGATAAAATGCAAAGCGAATAAGAGTAATTTCCAATGCTTTCATGACATTCAGCCAGAGGCAGTTGCTTCGAAGTTCATAATAGTATTGCTGCCCCAGTCAGGAAATACTATCCCATTGAGGTTTCATTTTCATCCTTTCTCAGTTCGAACCCTCCAAAACATTTGAACTTCAACACCCATTAATCCTGCCAGTGTGATTCCTGACTGGGAATTATGCAGGCTGGAAATGATGGCAATTGCAAGGAAAGAATCAGACTGTGGAAGGATGAGCTATTAACATTCTTTCCTCTTTTTTTCCTATTCTGTTCAATCGTGCCAATTCTCTGAGACTGGCTGGACAAGTTCCTGCCGTTTTTCTGGCAAGGTTTTTCTGAACTGATTTGCCTCTACCTCTTTCTAGGGCTGAAAGAAACTGGTCCAAGATCACACAGTCAGTTTTGTGCTTAAGTTGGAACTAGGATTCACACTCTCCCTGTTTCTAGCCTGATGCCTTAACTACTACACCAAACTGGCTTTTATTAATATTGTAGAACAGTTTTTATAGTTACTGTTGATTCCTCTGGATTCCTGGAACAGTAGCAGGAATTCTTCTCTCTTATTGAATAAGATTCTAATCCCAACACAGGTAGAAATACTGTCTTGCCTCTCACAATCAGTCTATTTTAAGACTAGTTTTAGACCACAACCATCATTTCCTTTTCAATGCATCATGTATCAATGTAATTTTCTCCTCTGCTAGGGAACTTTTTTTTCCTAAATATAAATCTTCCAAAAACCATCTATACTCCTGAAATATTGAGGCTCTAAGCCAATGGAGTAATGCTGTATATATATATTTCATATTGCTATATGCTTCAGTATTTTCTAAAGGCTATTGGCCAAATTCTAGTCCCCATAAGGCAGGCAACGTTCAGCAAGGAATGAAATGTTCATCTGGTACATTAACCAGATTTTATAAATTTGGTGCCTCCAGAATTGTTGGCCTAAAACAAAAGGAATTTTCTGCCCTATAAATTGCACTAGGCTCCTAAAAATATATGCACACATTCCTTGTATTTTATAGAAGCAATATTTTTTCCCATTTTTCAGTTGGGAGAAACAAACCCTTCAAATTCTCCTATTTAAATCTTCCTATTTAGACCCGTTTCAGACCATTGCTTCCATATACTACATTAGCAGCTTTCACAGTCCTATAGGCAGGAGCAAATAAAATATTTACAATCAGGTGTTCACATGGAGAGTACTCTCTGAAGTATATACCTGTCATTTTAGATGACAATATGTTAGACTAAAAATGAATAATAACTCTTGAGCATGACTTATATCTTTACACTAAAGTCCTGCTGCTGATAAAATACCAAGAAGTGTATCTGCTCTATAGCTAAGCAGGTCATGGTGTACACCTGATTTAGTATGCCCAATTGTAGTACAAAACCATTAATAGGACATTGGCAACCACAGTACCATGCTAATTTCAGATCTCAATAAAAACATAAATAAGGGATTGCCAGAATGACCGTGGAGAGAAGTAATTTCAGACGGATTACGTGCAGTATCATAATTAGAGTGAATCAGTAGCTTGACTATTATCCACTCCAGCTATATGATTACCAGTCTTTCTGGTAATAGGAGGAACCCTATTCCTCCTTTAAGGAAAGCCATTTGAAAGAAGTTAACTCTGTGTCTTGAAATATACATATAGCATTTACTAATTTTCTGTCCCAATTTGTCCAGGAGCTCAAGCAATTAATGTGGATTCTTTTCTCTTTTATGACTTTTATACATTTTTTGTCAGATATTGTAAAGTGTTGTTTCCCCATTTACAATTCTTTTTCAAACCTAAAAACTTTCAGCCTGAACATCCCATTGTTTGGAATGGGACTACCTAAGCTTTATGCAACAGTTCAGTTGAACTCTCCCCACTGAGTTATATAAAAGCATTATAACACTGGCTGTTCTATTTTTAACCTATTTCCTGATCTTCCCAAACACAGCGTTTGCCTTTTTCATTTCTGCGACTGCATGCTGAGATGATGTGGGTTTTTTTTTTTAAACCTATCCACCACAACCAAAATATCTCTTTCCTGTTGAATCATTAGAGCTTAGGCTACCTGTACATGTGGCAAAGAACTCTTGTTTTCCTAATCCAGTTTGAAGAGGTTGCTCTGACATTTATCAAATTGTGTTTTCACCATCTTGAATAATTTAGTGTCCTCTACAAACTTGGCATCCTTAGGGCTTGTTTCCTGACCCCAAATCATTGATGAATAAAATGCAAAACACGAGGGGAGGGGTATGTGGGACAGAAGTGGGGGGGGGGTAACCACTTGTTCCATTGTGAAAACTATATTTAATTCTCCCTTCAATTCCATGTCGTGCACAAAAGTTCTTTTTTTATGAGATAGCAATAGCACTTGCACTTATATACCGCTTCACAGTGCTTTACAGCCCTCTCTAAGCAGTTTACAGAATTAGCATACTTCCCCAATAATCTGGATCCTCAGAGATAATGTATAGGTTATCATAGGAGTCCATGGAAAAAGCTTTCCACTGTTTCCAAGTTGAAGAATATATATTTCCCTTATCTGTGTACAGCATTTAGTAAAAGCTCTGATGATGTTACATAATTGTAAATTGGCATAATTTGTGTGATAGCATCATGATATGCACAGATGCTCATGCATATCTACATACCTCTTGAGACTACTAACATGTAATGTTAATATTGGGCTTTAAATAGCACCGAACAAGTGCCAAGAGGCTGGAACTAGATTTGACTGAGTTCACATAATGCCAGCCCCACTTAAACAGATCAGACTGTGAAATCAATTTTGTAAGATGACAAAAACTGCTTTTATTGAAAGAGATTGCTATAACAGAATCTTGCAACTCTAAGTGTGCTGTCCTTCTTACAGTTCAGTGAATTCAAGAGGTATAGTATCAAGAGCTATAGTATAGCCACTTCTGAATGCTATCTGGATATTCTAGACTTAAAAATGTTTCAGCCCCTTTTGCACTATTGAATCCTGCCATAATACCTTTTAAACGATGATGAACAATTTAATATTAAATGTAAATCCAACCCATTAATGTTTTTTTAATAAAACATGATTTAAAAAGCACATCTTGGCATGGCATGTGATGATCTTAACCAATAGAGTGTGGGGCCTGTCACTAGTTCTAGTTGTAATATGCATTGATGGTGCCTAAATTGAAGATCTGTCTTCACCAACAGATGACAAAACCCGTCTGAAGCTGGGAAAACAAAAGTTGCAACAGTGTACATGCCCAGTTGCCCACATATGTGCCAGTTACTTCAGACCCTGGGATTCCTGTTATTACCAATCATTTTTTTACATATTAATGTCTTATGCTCGGTAGTTTTGCTATAATAGTATCTAATGTGACAGTTCCAGGGCAATTTCTCATATGACTGGCCTGACTAGGCATAGGGAGATCCCAGCTGCTCCTCTCAAAGAACCTAGTTTCTCTCCTCAATAAGGGGAAATGGGGAGGAGAAGAAAATAGAGATATTTGCATAGTTTATGTAATTCACAAACTCTGCTGTTCTAGAGAACAGAATGCCATGAAACGGGAGAAGGAATCTAAATTTCTGTTTTTCATAATAATGAAAAGAAAGACATTCTCTTTGGCAATGGGCCATAAAAAACAATTCTGATATTTGTCTTATTCCCTTTCAAAGGAATGAAGGAACCACTATGTAAGATTATTTTTAAACCATTAATAGGAGAACTTCTGATTCTCCAAATATTGCTTAACTGTAAATCCTTATAGCCCTCACTGGCTATGCTGGCTGAGATTACTGGTTGTTAAAATTTAGCAAGAGCTTCTAGAAAGTTAGATGTTTACTGATTCTGCAGTGACCCAACTGTCCCTCTTTCTTGTTGTAATCCAACCCATATGAGACACATCTGATTTTAAATTCTTATTTTTTAGAAAGATTGCTTAGTATGTAATGAACTCTCAATCTTTTTAGTCCCTTCTCCCTTGTTCAACTACACACTGTGCTTGAAAAGAATCCCTTTTGTCTTTAGAAGAGAGAGAGACTCAGTCTAATTTTGAATGTGGCCAAGAATCATGCCTCACTTGTGGATGTGGATTAACTATCTGCAATGAGGCTGGTTACCTGTGAATGCCATATTTTAGCCTGCCCATTCACAATAGTTCCATTTTTTCCCCCATCCTCATTTAAAATTACCCAGCCACTGTTGTATGTGGATTAGTGAATTCTAAAGAGAAGTCTATGGATTATGAAGGGTACTTCCATTGAATAGTCTTGACTCTCCCACCAGTCTGCTATATCTTTTCTGATGTCCAATAGGCCTGTATAAAACTTTAGAAATGAGCGCTTCAAAAAAATTCAGAGATATGAATAAAGTATTCTTTGCCGAAGTTTTGGAAAAGTCACATTACTTAAAAGTTTCATATAAAAGCTTTAGGTCTTTTCCCAGTTGTCTGTCTGTATGCATTTGTATGCAGACTGTGACCTACTGGGATTTTCACTGAAGTGGGGTGGCAGCACATGGATGTATCTGTGCTGCAGTGAGCCTTCAAAGTAGCCACATAAACCTTTTAAAGCTTGCATCCATTTTAATGCTCTGAAGAGGGATATTTTGCTGGCACCAAGGTGGCTTGCAAAAACACCCCTTTCAAATGATTTGCACAGCCTGAATATGCAGTGAATTGTCTAACACATACACATTTCAAATACAGCTGTGTCATAAATTGGTATAAAAATTATGGTGATAATTTTATTTTCAAATTTCTTTCTAAAGATCCATCAGAACTGGATTTGCTAAAAATGAACCTTTTGCTCCAGAATAGCCCAAATCTTTTAGCAAGGAAATCTGAGTTTCCTAATATGAATAAATTTTACACTTCTTTTTTTTTCTTTACTTTTTACTGCATTGAAGAATTTATTCTGGCTTTGAGAAGAGGTTAAGCAGGGCACTTTAACCTCATTCCCAACCCCTGGAAGACTTATGCAGCTGCATTACTAGCTGCTATGATTTAATAGGTGTGGGCTAGAAATTAGCAGGACACCTGCTCTGTAATTATGCCTTTGATTAAGACAAAAAGAAATGAATATAGAAGAAGAATAATTTTAATTCTGTACTAATATTTTTGTAAGGCAGTGCAGCACACCTGTAACTTGATCTATGGCAGCCTACAATGGAGGAAAGGGTGTCAGAATGCACTGATACTGCAGCATATGATGGCAGTCATGATGCAGAGTGCATTGTCAGATATTAAAAATGTTTGATAACACTAAAATCAGGGGTTGGTGTTGGTCATGGAATAAAAACATTGAGAAAATATAGTCAGTGTGAATAGGATAAAGGACTGGATAGTCGTATATTCCAAGTTCATTGTAATGCAGAGGAATAGCACATATACCTACAATATTACAACTGATTTATTTCATGTTTCATGATAGAATTTATTTATTTATTTAATTAATTAAACTTATATACCACCCTTATCCCCAGGGGGACTCAGGGCAGAGGACAGCCAGAAATTAAAACACATATAGTACAAAAGTTAAGAAAAAACTAAAATAGATTAAATCAGCAGCATTTACCAATTTAAAATCCCAAATCTACAAAATCAAAAAATTCCCAATTTAAAACCCCAAAACCAATAAAATTAAAAGATGAAAAATCCCCATTAAAACCATTTAAACTAGGCCGGCTTGTTGGAATAAATAAGTCTTCAGGGCCTTGCGGAAAGTGCGGAGGTCCGGGATCAGTCGTATTTTAGGAGGTAGCTCATTCCACAGGGTGGGTGCCCCCACAGAGAAGGCTCTCCCCCTGGGGGCCGCCAGCCGACATTGCTTGGCTGACGACACCCTGAGGAGGCCCTCTCTGTGCGAGCGTATTGGCCGGTGGGAGGTTATCGGTAGCAGCAGGCGGTCTCGCAAGTATCCTGGCCCTATGCCATGGAGTGCTTTAAAGGTGAAAACCAACACCTTGAAGCGCACCCAGAAGACCACTGGGAGCCAGTGCAGCTCGCGCAGGAGAGGTGTTACGTGGGAGCGCCCTGTTGCTCCCATAATCACCCATGCGGCTGCATTCTGGACCAGTTGGAGCCTCTGGGTGCACCTCAAAGGGAGCCTCATGTAGAGAGTGTTACAGTAGTAGTACAGAGTTGGTAGGGACCTTGGAGGTCTTCTACTCCAACCCCCTGCTTATCAGGATACCCTATACCACTTCAGACAAATGGTTATCCAACATCTTCTAAAAAACTTCTGGAGGCAAGTTGTTCCACTGATTAATTGTTCTAACTCTCAGAAAATTTCTCCTTAGTTCTCAGTTGCTTCTCTCCTTGATTAGTTTCCACCCATTGCTTCTTGTCCTACCCTCAGGTGCTTTGGAAAATAGCTTGACTCCCTCTTCTTTGTGGCAGCCCCTGAGATATTGGAACTCTGCTATCATGTCACCCCTAGTCCTTCTTTTCATCAGACTAGACATATCCAGTTCCAGCAATCGTTCTTTATATGTTTTAGCCTCCAGTCCCCTAATCATCTTTGTTGCTCTTCTCTGCACTCTTTCTAGAGTCTCAAAATCTTTTGTACATTGTGGCGACCAAAACTGAATGCAGTATTCCAAGTGTGGCCTTACCAAGGCATTATAAAATGTTATTAACACTTCACGTGATCTTGATTCTGATATTACAACTGATTTATTTCCTGTTTCATATTTGGCATGCTAGGAATTACGCCTGCTACCATTCTTTATTATTTTATTTTATTTGTACAAAGAAGCTTTTATTCAAGATGAGAAACAAGTTTAAATTCCATTGGTATTACGGTAAAATACCTCCACTTTAATACAACTCCCCCACTCCAACCCTTTGAAAAATACCTGCTTCCCCTGTGAAGAATAGTATAAATTGGTTTTGGTGTCATATTAAAAGAAAATCTTATTTTTGCCTGTGTCGTGGAAAAGAAATGTGTATTAATTAAGGTTAACCTGGATTAAGGTAGACTATTTGCCTTTTTAGAAAGATCTGTTGATTGTAACAGATGTGTTGATCTGTTTGGGAGCTCAGGAGGCACAGCTTCACCACCTCCTTGTCTGTAGAAGTTTAATTGGTGCTTCAGTTTTCATTCTCATTGGTACGTGATGAATAATAATGAGCATCTTGTGGGATAGTTGCAAGGATAAGAACAAGAAAGGCTGAATTCTTCATAGCCCTTCTCAAAGTGTACGTTTGTTTGTGGGAGGCTTTGGTTTAAGTCCTTGCTCTCTGCATTGCTGAAATAAAAACCCTAGCATATATAACTAAAGCAGAAGCCAGATGATTTGCAAATGAAGTTGTTTACAGCATATCCACATTTTGTTCTCTGAGCCTCCTTTCCCCACTTGCCTCTTCAGCCTTAGACTTCCTTTTTGTTTAAATAGAATTTGTATATTCCTTGGGGCAGCATCACATCTTTTATTTTGTTTTCCAATATCCCTCTACAAAGTGTCATGTATAGAGATGGGATTAGTATAAGTAAATACCAGGAGTGCATCTACTGCTTCTAGTGTACATTACAGGCTCGGCCAGACCAGATGTCTCACAGAGATGTTTATATTAGCATCATTTTTCTTCTTTCTCTCAGGTGGTAAATCCCAAAAAGAAAATGAAGAAAAAGAAATACTCTAATTCAGGAACAGTGAGTAACATTATTATAAATGTACTTGATGTATTAAAATATTTCCCCAACATGCCATCTGAGTAACTTTGAAGTTGGGATTTCTTTTTTATTTGAGCCTCAACAATAGGAAATAGGCAGAAAATTGCATGTCTTGATGTAAAGTGAGCAGCAAATAATGCATGACTATCAGTGTTGTTTCCCCCAGCAGTTGTATTATACAAATACCAGCCGGAGGAATTGGCCAATAAAAACAGGTGGCTTTCAGTCCTGTATCCAGGATTCCACAATTAAAATACCATAATAGAAAATAGTGCAATCTGATTTGAATCAAAGGCAGACAGAGCTGATAAATATTTCAACACAGACTAAATGTAGAAAATGTTTTGAATTAATGTTAATTCCTGCATTTATGAAAATGTTTCTTCTGGATTTTTGCAACCCAAATCTGATAATCTTAAAAAAACAGTTGTGGTAACCTATTGGACTGGGAGTAGACGGAAGATGGGATGGCCTTGGACATGACTGCAAATCATCATTAGCGTCAGATGCTCCTGCAGCAGTAACAATTATTTCATTGGTCCTTATGTGACATACATCCTGTTTCTTCCTTTTCAAGGTAACATTACTGTCATTTGCCACAGAATCAGAACATACGTTTCTAGATTACATCAAAGGAGGGTAAGTCATCTCTCCTGCTAAAACACTGAAATTTAACCCAGACATCATGGGAAAGATTGTTGGTAGGTATACATATTCCTACCAACCTGTGTGCGCTATTGCCTAATTAGAAGGGAATTGTACTTCAGCCAAAACAAGTAACTAAAATAAATTATGAAATTGACTGCTTTTAGTTTGCTCTTCTCTTTTCAAGATCTTGAAGAAGGCATAGCTTTGTATGATTAACCCCAACATCAGAATTAGGTTTTAAATGTCCAGATAACGCTGGCTTAAAGCTATAAAGCAAGGTTCATTATTAGTTTATGAATTTTGATTTGTTTGAGAATGCATAATTTTAATTCTAGGTTCAAATGTTCCTCAGCGGCAAGTTACAGCCAGCTACATATTTAGTAAGTCTGGCACCTCATTTATAGCCTCTACAATGTCCAAAAATGTATCCTGCCAAAACAGAGTGTCAAGATGATAATATTTATGATTTTAGGTATGAAAATATCTAAAGAAGCAGTGGGAATGTTCCCCAAGTCTCCAGGAAGCAAAACATGTCCTGTTAAAATTCTCCAAAATCCTCAGAAGATAGATCCAAATCATGCCGCCAAAAGTTGGTATCGAAATGGCCAAGGATTTTCAGCTGCAAAAACAGAAATACAGATGGGAAAGCAAGGATAAAGTTGTAGTTTTATGAAATGCTCCCATTTCCAACCATTTCCACACACACAAAATAAAACAAAACAGGCCAAGATTTTTTTATCCCAGGTCCTTCTGATCACATCGTTGGCATCATTGCAGTTGTGGCCCCAAGATCAAACAATGGCTCCCATATAAATTTCTCTTTGCTTCCTTTATTCCTCCAAAGAGAAGAAGCAAATAGAAGGAATCCAGCTGTTGCACTAACATGATGCTTGTTCCAGTAATGGTTTATTATCCTGGTTTGACGTGACATGGGAATGCAATAGGTGATTCTTGCATTTCATTGTAAAATTATGTTGTAGGATTAGAGATGGATGATAAGGATTGGTGGTGGCAAAATGTTAAGGACTAGGCACACAAGAGTTTGATTTTAGCTAGTGATGGTAATTGGACTTCTTCTACTTTGAGAATGCTCAAATAGTATATAAGCAGTCCTTGGCTTACTTTGGGTTGCTTAGTGACTGTTTAAAGTTACAACAGAGTCCCTCCCCCCACAAAAGTATTCACAACTTGATTCCAAAATTCTGGTGGCTGTGCCCCCTTGTGGTCACATGACCACATTTTGGTTCCTCAGCAACTAGCCTGCATTTATGGCCATTTGCAGCATCTCACAGTCCTGTGACCACAATTTACAGTGTTTTTGCCAAAAAAACAGGGTTTTTTTCTGGTTTTTAGCAAAAGCGCTCCCTGGTGAACAATGAGTTTACTTAACAACCATGGTGTTCACTTAATGACCACAGATTTACTTAACGACCATATTAATTCACTTAAAGACTGCCACCAAAAAAGTCATAAAATTGGGTTAGGCTCCATTACAATTGTAAGTCAAGGAGTACTTGTAAACCTCCTGATGGAATGTTACACTTTCTGGAAAATATTTTCCATTTTGTTTCAATAGCTTGTATCAGAGTGACTAGAACTGATCAAGAAAGATGCTGCAGCTCTCTGACATAAGCTAGTTGTTTGCTGTTTTCTTTATTTGCTGTTTTCAAATAAGCAACTCTGAAATGCCACAGAAGCACAGCCATTGAGCTATTTAGGATTTAAAACTTCACATATGGCTGCCACTCATACAATTAAACATCTGAACAAGCTCATGTATCAGATACATCTCTATAATGTCATATTTGTTATCATGTTTTGTCCGCCCTCTTTTCAAAAAGCTTAGTGCATGGGATTTTATGATAATAAAATGGAAAGAGAAACAGATAAGATTCCCCTGATTATGTCAGTGTAACAAATGTCTCTGCCTCCTGATTTGAAATTGTGCTTATTTGCACCATCAGACATTGAATTACTGATAAATTATTCAAATGAACACTGGAAAGAAAATTATGTTCTGTTACACAAGAACATAAAAAAAAAAAAGCTGCTGAAAATATACAGAGTTGGATCTAATTTTTGCCATGCATAGAGAATGCCTGCTAAAAGGGCTTTTTAGTCTGGTGTTACTGGGCTTCCAGATATAAAATTAATGTCAAAATATGCAAACAAAACAAAAGCAAGAGAATCTCTTTATATTTGGGACAATGTAAGAGGGTGTAATACAGAGCTTTTGGTCCAGTGCCTAATTTATTAGACCTAAGAATAACAACTTACCTTAGATAAAGCAAGCATTTGGGGGAGAATCTTAAAGCATAAGCTAATAAAAAATTGAAGACGGGTTAAAAAAAATAAAAATAAGGTAAATTAGGAGAGGCTTAGTTATTACTATTTTCTGTGTTCATCTTACATAATATAGCTTTATTACTTCCTATTTCTCTTGCAAGCTGCACAGGGAGTGGGAGGATGAAGAAAAGCCTCTTAAAAGTCCAAAGTCATTTTGAAGAAAGAAGCTCAAACACCTTGGAGAGATTTTGTTTTGCTGATACACTTTTGCCTCAGGCAGAATCCCTTTTGCCTGTGATGAGTCATCACAGCCAGTTCTCGCAAGAAAAATCTCTTTATATTCAGTCCATGTAATTTATCATATAGTTAATCAAATGTCTCTTTTGTTCAAGTTTCCCAGGCATCAGTTTTCCTATCCATTTACAACACCGTGACTTTTCCTAACAAATACATTTAATAGATGGTCTTCCCTAGGGTGCACATTTTGGTGTTGAGAACTGGTTTTGCAAAACTTGGAGATGTGCCTGAAGGATCACTAACTTATTTAGTCACACTTAAAAGTACAGGTAATCCTTTAGTTACAACCATAATTGAGCCCAAAAGTTATGTTGCTATGTGAAACATTCGTTAAGGGAGTTTAGCCCCATTTTACAGCTTTTCTTGCCACAGTTGTTAAGTGAATCATTGCATTTGTTAAGTTAGTAAGATGGTTGTTAAGTGAATCCAGATTCCCCATTGACTTTACTTGTCAGAAGGTCACAAAAGATAAATCAAGTGACTCAGTGGTGAAATCTAAAATTTGTTAACTACCGGTTCTGTGGGCGTGGCTTGGGGGGGTGGTAATATGACTGGGTGGGCGTGGCCTTTTTTTTTTTTTACTTTTAAAACCATTTTTTCTACAAAAAATGTTAAAAAATGCTTTCAAAAGGCTCTGACGATCCCAGCTGAGCTGCCTGATCAGCAGAGGCTTTTTTTTCTTTTAAAAGCCTCTGCCAATCAGGCAACTCAGCTTGGATCGTCAGAGGCATTAAAAGAAAAAAAGCCTCTGCCGATCAGGCAACTCAGCTGGAATCATCAGAGGCTTTTAAAAGCATTTGACGATCCCAGCTTAGCCGCACAATAATCAGAGGCTTTTTTTTTTACTTTTAAAAGCATTTTTTCGGCTGAAGAGGTTGTAGAAAAAATGCTTTTAAAAATAAAAAAAAAGCCTCTGATGATTGTGCAGCTCAGCTGGGCATAGGGTGGAGGGGGGCAGGGATTTTTGCTACCGGTTCTCCAAACCACCCGCCTCTATCGCTACCGGATCAGGCGATCCGGTCTGAACCGGGAGCATTTCACCCCTGACATGGTTACTGCAGCTCTCACAAATATGAACCAGTTGCCAAGCATCTGAATTTTGATCGTGTGACCATGGGGATGCTGCAACGGTTGTATGAAAAACGGTCATGAGTCACTTTTTTCAATGCCGTTGTAACTTTGAAAGGTCACTATATGAACTATTGTAAGTCGAGGACTACCTGTACAAATAAATAGTTTAGTTAAAATGCTAACCGTTTTTTATTTTATCGTAATGCACCTGGATTAGTAATGCATCTGGCAATGTGAAGGATAATGTTGCATTGTGGGGACTCATATTAAAAATGCTCCCTTCCCTAAATAACAACAGTCATGATTTCATGATCACCTGGAAGCAAAGTCTTGATCGGGCTGTTCTGCAATCCTCTACTTTTCAAGTGGTGTGTGCCTAGGTGTTCTGAATTTCTGCCACCCTTACAGTTCCCCAAGTCTGAAGGATATTTCCACCCTTTGCTACTGCTTTGTTGTTGTTATTTTCTATATATTGCTGAGAGCTGGCTTTTGTTTAGATGTTGGGCAGCAGGCTCATTGTTTGCAGCCAAGAGTATTTTAGCTGATGGATCTACCAGTCATTCTTGGCCCATAAAAATCCGGCATTCTCCATATGCAAATATCCAATCACTGAAGAATCCATCAGAGCTCAGTTTGTGGGTTTTGAGAGGCACTGGAGTCTAGAAATCAATCCAAGCACATTCAGAGCACTTAACAACCAACATGGATTGTTAACCCATTAATTTCTCAAAAGGAATCCTGAAAGAGGTAGATTAATTGAAAGGTAAAGAGATTTCTTAGATTTATTCAATATTAAAGAGGACCTTGAATGATTTATGGTAACTGAGCACATTGTAAGCCGCCCTGAGTCTTCAGAGAAGGGCGGCATATAAATAAAATTTAAAAAAAAAAAACTAGCACACATTCTCTGAAATATATTGGTAACATTGTTATATTCTTCTTTTTCTTGAAACTCATTATCCTGTTACCTTTTTCACATTAGTAATTCAATGTGTTTCCTCTCATTCAGTCCTCTCATTGACCAATTTTTCCTTAAGATCCTCTCAACTCCGGAGAAAGCTACTTAGTTTAACATCTTACTAATTATTCCTTCCTTTCCTTGACCATCTGTTTTCTTTCTCTGTAAAAGTCAAGCCAGCTTCCCAGCAGAGCTCCTCTGCCAAGCTTGTCTGGTGATTTCTTACTATCCTGCTTCAAGCATCATCCTGAATAGTTATTAATAATTAAATAATAACAGGGGGGAAAAAATCACAAAATACATAGTCCTGCAAATAGAAGTAGAATGACGGTGACAAAAGAATGAATTTATTTAGTGTATGACATACAGTGTCAGGGAAATCTACACATGCTAGACACAATGCAGTCCTGACGGCCTAAATTGCTAGGTCATTCTGTTCAGCGCTTATGCACCTATCCTTGGTGTACTGCAGGGTCATACCAGTTTACTTTATACGAGTTAACTAGCGGTGTTCAGGTTGCTGGCTCTTCTGGGCTTCTTTGCTGGTCTCGACTCGACTCAACTCGATTCGACTCGACTCGACTCGACTCGATTCGACTCATGTTGTGATGTCTCACATCCAGCCAGGTCCAGCACCAGCTTTCACTCTCCACACACACAAACCACAGTTAGGGTTTTTTTTCTCCACCAAAGTGGTATCTACTTGTAGTATTGCATGCTTTTGAACTGCTGAGTGGGCAAGAGCTAGGGATCAAGTGACAGGCACTCACTCCATCTCACGGAGCCGGGTTTGAGCCACCAGAATGCAGACCATTTCTGGCCAGCAGTTCCAGTGTCATTGTAAAAATAGTACCAATAATGATAGGTTTCTGGATGCAATCCCAAAATGACTGGAGCACAACATAAACATCATCAGCATTGACAAAATCATCATCAGTCAATTGCAGAAGACAGCTGTACTTGGAACAGCTTACATCTTGCAATGATACATTTAACACCATCAGACAACAACATCTGCTTATCCCAGGATTTGAAGGACTCAATAGATGAATAAAAATGCCAAATTCAGTCTGATCATTTGGCTGTGTGATCAACCATAATTCATTATTATGATATTTGTTTTGAACTCAGTAAGCTGGGTGAAAGGCTAGTGTTTAAGGCCTGGAGACCAATTTGCTGTGTATGCAGGAGTTTTTGGGTTTTTTAATAACTTTTGATTTTACATTTTACAGATTTCTTTTATTAGTTATTGGATTTGCCTCATATTCCAGGCTCAGAGGTAATATGAAAATAAACACAAATGGGGAGTGTCCTTAGGCCTTCCCACGTAGCTTTAGGAAAATTCAAACACTACCAATTGAAGAAGTGGAACTATGGGGATCTCAGTTTTGCATAGCCACAGATAGTTACATCTTAGTGCTCTTTTCTAGAGTTAAAAATACATCCCTGGCCAGTGCTATATCTAATTCAGATGTATTTCCATTGCAGCAAAACAAAGAAGCCTTTCCCTTCAACCTGGTCTCTGTCTTTCCACCCGGCATTTTAAATTGTTATCTCCCACTGACAGCTGCATTCTTTCATTGAAGGCTTGTATGACATTTGAAGGAAAGACCTGTCATGGGAGCAATTGCTTTTGGTGGAGGGTGGGAGATGAGAGATTTGGAATCTCATCTGAGAAGGCTGCCAGAGAAATGTCTGCAGACAGCTTTTTTCAATCATCCATTTTAATAGCACTAATGCGCACTGTCCTTTAAACCTGTATTCCTTGTCTACCTAGATAGGCTCTGGAACTGGGAATTGTGCTGATTCATAGGAACCCACGGGGGGTGGGGGACACACAAAGAGTTATTATTACATAGTTATTATATACCAGTAGTTATTAGTATTTGGTACTAGAAGCAATGAAACACGTCTTCGCTTTATTTCATTTCATAGCATTTTAGACCACTAGTTTGCGGGATTTATATATTTATTATACGAAAAACTGCCAGAAAAACCCGTCAACATTTCCATTTAAATCATAAAATCATTTCAAATGTACTGAAGGCCACCAAACAAACATAGGTAGACATTAAATGTCTTTTAGAGATGTCTTCCAATGTCTTCCTGAATACCAGAAGAATAGAGTCAAGCCCACCTCAGGAGGTTGCTTATTTTACAGAATGAGGGCAACCATTGAGAAAGCCTCCCTTCTTTCTTCTCTTTGGGACAAAACTCTGAGAAGGTCATAGAACAGAATAGAATAAAATAAAAATAACCAAGTTGGAAGGGACTTTGGAGGTCTTCTAGTCCAATCTTCTGCTCAAGCAGGAGATCTGTACCATTCCAGATGATGGTTGTCCAGTCTCTTCTTGAAACTCTCAGGTGATGGAGCTCCCACAACTTCTGGTGGCAAGCCATTCGACTGATTAATTGTTCTTACTGTCAGAAAATTTCTCAATTCTAGGTTGGATCTTCATTTATAAGTCTCCATCCGCTACTTCTTGTCCTATTCTCAGGTGCTTTGGGGAATATGGCGACTTCCTCTTCTCTGTGACATCCCCTCAAATAGTGGAAGACTGCTATCATGTCACCCATAGTCCTTCTCTTTGCTAGACTAGACATACTGTATTTAGATCCCGCAACCATTCATAGCAAAGCTTAGCCTCTAGACCCCTAATCATTTTTATTGCTCTTTTCTGCATTCTTTCTAGAGCCTCAACATTTTTTTATATCAGAGTGACCAGAACTGGATGCAGTATTCCAAGTGTGATCTTACTAGTGCAGTATAAAGTGGAACTATCACTTCACATGCTCTTGATATTATCCCTCTGTTGATGCAGCCTAAGACTGCATTGGCTTTAAAGCAGCTATGGTACACTGCTAGCTCATACATAAATGGTTGTCATCTAGGACACTTAGGGTTACTGCTGTTGAGCCAGATACCACCTATTCTACACCTCTGCATTTAGTTTTTCTTACCTTACTTGCCTTACTTTTCTCACCACTGATTTGCATTTTCTTGGAGAGGGCCCAGTGTTCCAGTCTGTCAGATCTCTCTGTATCTTGAATCTTATCTTCTAAAGTGTTGACTATTCCTCCCAGCTTGGTATTGTCCACAAATTTGATGAATTCCCCTTTTATCCCCTCAGCTAAATCATTTATGAATATGTTGAGGAGAACTGGGCCTAAGACAGAACCATGTGGTATCCCATTGCATGTTTCCCTCCATTTACATATAATTGAGGACTGTGAGCACTCAAATTTCATTGAGGACTGTGAGCTGAATGTGGGTGGCCAGCCAATTGCAAATCCTTTTGGTGATGGGACTATCTATCCCGCATTGTTCTATCTTAGACTGAGGTCTACTTTGTCAAATGCTTTACTGAAGTCTAAATAAACAATGTCCGCTAAGCTTCCCTTATCCACTAATTTTGTCACATTATCCAAGAAGGCAATTAAGTTTGTCTGACATGATCTGTTTTTAAAAAACCTATGTTGGCTTTTAGTAATAGTTTTGCTCATTTCTAGGTGTTCACAGACCCATTGTTTTATTAACTTTTCCAGGATTTTCCCAGGTATCAGGGTCACGCTGGTTGGCCTGTAGTTTCTTGGATCCATTTTTTTCCTTTTGAAGATTGGAACCACATCAGCTGTTTTCCAGTCCTCTGATTTTTTCCAAGCATTCCAGGAGCTTTGAATGATTTGGTCCAGTGGTTCCAAGATCACATCTGTCAGCTCCTTCAGAACTCTTTCCTGTTTGGACTTGTATTCCTAGTCTATCTTCTATTGTCCTGCTTTTGATAGGTTGGTCTGTTTTTTCCTTTTGTGTAAAAACAGATGCAGAGAATTAATTAAGCAGTTCTGTTTTCTCCTTCACCTCCTTGCCATCTTCTCTCATTGGTGGACCGATTGTTTCCTTGACTTTTTTCTTGTCTTTTACACGTTGAAAGAAACTTTTATTATTATTTTTGGCATTTGTTTCAAGTCTTAGTTGATTCTGAGCTTTAGCTTTCCTGACTTCATCCTTGCAGATTAGGGCTATTTGCTGGTATTCTGTTTTAGTTATGTGTCCCTCTGTCCATTTTTATGCTTGTCCTTTTTGTCTCTTAGTTTACTATTCTAATTAATTAGTATAAACACAATTATTGGAATAAAGATAATACTAGAAGGAAAGTATGGGATGCGGTGGCTCATTGGCTAAGACATTGAGCTTGTCAGTTGAAAGGTCGGCAGTTCAGCAGTTTGAATACTTAGTGCCACGTAAGGGGGTGAGCTCCCATTACTTGTCTCAGCTTCTGCCAACCTAGCAGTTTGAAAGCAGGAAAAAAATGCAAGTAGAAAAATAAAGACCGCCTTTGGTAGGAGGGTAACAGCATTCCTTGTGCCTTTGATGTTTAGTCATGCCGGTCACATGACCATGGAGGCATCTTTGGACAGCGCTGGCTCTTTCGCTTTGAAACGGAGATGAGGACCGCCCCCTAGAGTCGGGAACGACTAGCACATATATGCAAGGGGAACCTTTACCTAGAAGGAAAGTTGAGGACATAGTTTCCAACAACTCTGGATTTCATTTTTCTCAAAGGCTAAATAATTTACTAAACAATTTACAATTGTAGCTTGTACAATTACAGCCTAAATGATCATATTGTGATTTTTTTTTCTTCCAGGACACAGATCAATTTCACAGTGGCCATTGATTTCACAGCTTCCAATGGTAAGTTTTTATTTCTTCATTGTTGTTAGTGTGTTATGTATTTAGTGTGTTATTTGCTTATACAATTTACTAGTGTTTAAAAATAAAATTGGATCATTATACTTTTATTAAAGTCATTAAATCTTAAGCCTAAACATATTGCATAAAAGTGCCTATTATGTTCAATGGTAGCTTTTCCCAGGAAGCTACCATTCATTAGATCATAACCTAAGGTGACCTCAGAAAAGCTATCTAAGGGGTTATAGAATATATTGATGTTGTCTCTCTCCTCTCAAGGGAGTGATCCAATCTTGCATACCTCTTCTAAACCCATGGAAACTTCTGAAGCTGATTCTTCTTTAATTCTGAGTTTTGTAATATAAGGTCAGATTGCTTTTCCTGCCCTGTAAAGGCACCAAATTAAGTATCAAATGAGAAAGCAAAATATTTCATGCTGGAAGCGAGCTTCAATTAGGAACCCTGGAAAAGTGTGGTAATATAATAAAGAAAAGGGCAAAATCAGCTACTCTTATCACTTTATGCTTTAAAAATCAGGCTCAGTTCATGGTGTCTCCTGTTGTACTGATTTTTATGAACTGGGTTCAGGGACAAAACTAGAAGAGGTGAGCAAGACTAGTGATTTATATACAAATGTAAAAGATGTGAATATGTGCCTTGCAAAATCATTGCCAAGAACTTTCCTTATTTTAGCTGCATAAACAAGTGAATGCTCTCTTTTGTACATGCACACAACGCACGTCTGCTTGTACTTGTAGATAAGATCGCTGAATTCTTAAGCAGATCCAAGAATATTTCAATATAGCAAGCTAAGACTTATTATGCCACCTGCTGTCTCTTTCATGAAATTTCATTAGATGTTCATTAGATACAGGGTAGTCCTCGACTTACAACTACAACGGACCCCCAAATTTATGTTGCTAAGTGAGACTTTAAGTGAGTTTTACTACCCTTTCTTGCCACAGTTGTTAAGTGAATCACTGCAGTGGACAAGTTAGTAAGATGGTTGTTAAGTGAATCTGGCTTCTCCACTGACTTTGTCAGAAGGTTGCAGAAGGGGATCACATGATCCTCTTACGACACTACAACCATCGTAAATATGAGCCAGTTACCAACTGTCTGAATTTTGATCAAGTGACCATGGGGATGCTGCAATGGTTGTGTGAAAAATGGTCATAAGTCACTTTTTTCAGTGATGTAACTTTGAACAGTCACTAAATGAACTGTTGTAAGGCGAGGACTACCTGTACAGTAATGACAATTTCTACCTTTTCTAACTTCTAGGCCTTATATATCTTCCTGTGCTTCTACTATCTTTTTTTCCCCTTGCCATAGAAAGTTAGCAATATAAAAGTGATTGACTGTGCTGTATAGATTTTATTTGGTAGTGTCCTAAGGCAACTCTGAAAATAATGGCAGATTACTGTAGAGAGTGTATGACAATTCAAGTATATAAGGTGTGTAATTTGCCTGATGTGTTTTAATTGTTTAGAGCATTTGGCCCTGCATAATGTTGAAATCAGTAGGACAAGCAGGGTAGAGCAATACAACTTAACAACAGATTCAATACTAATTCAAACAGCAATGCAAATTCCATTTTCTGTATTTAAAATATGCTTTCAGTACTTAAAATACCAACCACTGAAGTGCTTGAGAGGATGAAAATGTCATGATTGCCAGCTCTGAAAGATAATGTAGTAGCATCAGGTGAAGCTCCTCAGGGAGAGGTTCCCAGTTACAGCACTCCAGATAAGGTTTTTTTTTTTGTTGACGTTAAGCAAACTTCATCAATGCAGCTGGCTCCCAGACAATGAATTCACTGCTGTTCCTTCTCCTTCTTCCTCCTTTGGATTCTTCCTCTTTCTCTCTCTCTCTCATTTTCTGCAGGCAATCCTTCTCAATCTACCTCCCTTCATTACATGAATCCATACCAGCTCAATGCATACGCCATGGCACTGAAGGCTGTTGGGGAGATCATCCAGGACTATGACAGTGATAAAATGTTCCCAGCGCTTGGGTTTGGAGCCAAGATTCCCCCCGACGGACGTGTGTCTCATGAGTTCCCCTTGGTACTGACACTTCCCTTTGAGTCACACCAGCATTCAAAAAACAGCTCCCGAGGGACGCTTTGTTTCAGATCAGATCAAGTGCCAGACAGAGGAGTCCAATGTGTCACATTCTGAGATGCCTTTTCTGGAGAGAGCAAAAATGCCATATGATCCTGTTGGCAGAGACTTGGCCTCATTGACAGCAGAATCAAGGAATCTTTTAAGCTGCAATCCTATACACACTGACTAGGGAATAAGCCCCAGTTTATTTCTCCTTGCTCCTGAATAAAATGAATAGGCTGGCTTGCTGGCACTGGGTAGTCTTGCTTTCCTTGCTCATGGCCTGACTTTTCAAGGAGCTTGGAATTTACTTACAAAAATGCCTATGGGCCTCCAGATCTTCCCCGCTACATCTTTTAGCAGGCCCAGCTAAGTACTGCAGTTCAGCATCTGGAAGTCAGAGATTGCCCACTCCTGAGTTAAAGCCTTGAGGGTTATAATAAGAAAAGAAGCAATGTTAACTGGCGCCTTTTTAAATGTTGATGTATCTGTAAAATCTGGATGAACCCTCAACCCAAGAAAAATGTCTTCACTACTATTGCTATCCCTTCAAACCCCTGAGAGGCAGCTTCAGTTGCATCTGCTTAATCTTTGCTTCCAACAGGGAGGGAGTCATTCAAGATAAATCTAAGATGCATGCATTACTTAGACATAGCTAGCAGTAGTTCTGCCTCTTCATATTCCATGAGCAAATATGCATGCATGTGGTGCGATCTAACATGCAGGGAGAGAGATAAGATATGTATTGCAAGAAATACACCCAGTCATAGATCAAAGCTGCAGGAGAGAGCCACAAAGATAAAGCTCCTAATTTGTCTCAATAGAATCCTGAGCAGTCACATGCTCTTTCTTTTAAGAAGGAAGCCAAGCTGCTCGACTGTCTTTTTACATACAACTGGGTCTTTAAAGAAAACTGTTATTCATCTTGCTGCCTAGCATTTTTATCTTTGTTGTCTTTTTCATCTTTGTTAGATGAAAGGGATGTTTAAGGGCAAGTGGAAGGATTAAAGCCAAAGGAAGATGGTTAAGATGCAGCATCTGCCTGGAGATTGCCTTTAGTTGTGTCCCCATTTCTCTGTTTTCAGAATGGCAACTGTGACAATCCTCACTGTAGTGGAATAGAAGGAATCCTTGAAGCGTATCACCAGAGCCTCAAGACTGTGCAGCTCTATGGCCCAACTAACTTTGCACCAGTGGTCAACCATGTGGCTGGGTAGGTCCATACAAATATAAAGTACTTTATAAAGCATGACATTGAAAGCTTCTTGCCATAAAGCAGGCATACAAATTCATACTATTCGTTTTTACAAGCCAGAAACCACATAAACTGACTGATTTGCATGTTTTATTTATTAGGATTGCAATGTAGAAGGGAACATAGCCAAGTGACAGAACATATTCAGAACAACTCTGAATTGGAGGTGGTCACAGATGCACATATACATTTAACAGAAATCAACCTACATTCAAAAAATCAATTAGGCCATATGGAGGTCCACAATGTCATGATATACAGTCTGATAGGCAAGAAAATTGACTATGACCAGGACAGGTATCATTGTCCTTCCTTTTCAGATGACATCTCATCTGCTCCTAAACAAAGACCAAGTCAAACATGTCCACCCATACCTGTTGTGGCCCCATTTTTGTGTGACAAGCCCATGATTATCTTGGTATACACAAGCAAGATGGACTGTCCCCCAGGGCATGTAGGATGGAAATCACCCATGGAATCTGGTGAACTCCAATACCAATCCCAAGACAACATCCAGGAATTAATAGAGGGTTGGTGTTTAGATGGTCTGAATACATTAGCAGCCCAAGCTTGTCTTTGCTACTTAATTCCACACAAAGGCACTTGCAATCTGACTATATCCAAGTACTCCTCATTGCTGTGAATATTTCACATACTATCCCATCTGCACCCCACTCTTCCGCTGCCTATCAAAGCCCTAGTCTATTTCCCACTGCATCATCCTGGAAGCAAACAACATTCCCTTCCTTATATCCATCCCTCAACTTCAACTATCATGAGTATCCAGTGAATACGCACTACCCATCACACTTAACATAAGCAAATCCCTCTCATAATATACCCAGAATCCTGCAGACCTTCGTGACTTGTACAGTTACAGGAAAAAGTGCAATGGACACTTTCTTGAGAAACAAATTTCTACTAATGCTTGTAAGATTACAATTTGATGCAGTTAACTGCACTGTTTGTGTTCAGTTCAGGATTCAGAAGTCCACTAGGAACCTATATCTTCCTGCATTCAATATTATTTCCTCCCAAATCAGATATGCCTCGGCTGTGCAGGATGGCTCCCAGTATTTCATTTTGCTCATCATTACGGATGGTGTGATATCAGACATGGCTCAGACAAAAGAAGCAATTGTCAATGTGAGTAGCTCACGTGGGGAATGGAGTAGCCTGATTTCAGCTTGGTCAAATAACAGACATTCTTATATGTGCCTGGTGGGAAAAAAATGGCTTCAGTTCAGCAGCATAGCACATTAATAAGCTGAGCACCTGGAATTTACTGCTAGCCACAGTAAGTGGTATAATCTTGCAGCCACAGCATATTCCTTTTTTCCCTATTGTAAATCTATTGAATGTTCCCTAACTGGAATCATAGACGCTGCCTTTTTTGCTAAATATGGGAAACCCTGAGGCAGGAAAGGCATTTTTTGGGAATGCTTTCCTTGGAATTCTTGTATTGAACAAGTCTTGGACTCAGTGTACTAAATGGCCCTTTCCAATTTTGTGTATATATTCTTTTCTCTAGGCAACTGGTTTTTGGTTCCATCCCATTCTTAATACAGCATTTACAATCAGATTTGGAATCAGTGGCTTCCACAGGAAGGAGAAAAATGGGGCACTCTGACAAAACTAGCCTTTCCCTTTTCTTATATGGGATATCATTTTGCACACATGCCCCAAAGAGATCAAACTTCTCTCTTTCCTTATTCTAACAAAAGCAACAAGATCCTTCTTAGGCCACCACTTAGAATTCGTATGCTTCATTCGTACATAATGCCAGCCTACAAGAATGAAGCCACGGTTTACAAGCCAAAATGGATGGACATCAAGCGAAGTCCATACTCAATGCATTAGCTTTTAACTAATTAGTTCATCATGCCATAAAGTGCTCAGTGCATTACATGATTGTCTTGGTAATCCTTTCACCAGGAGGGGAAAATCTGTAGCCCTTCGGATGATGCTCAGCTACAACATCCACCTCTATGGCCGTGCTAGCTGAGGCTGCTGTTCAACAAAGGCTGGAAGCCCACACATTCCCCACGCTTTATTCTACCAGATATTTAGCCTCGTCTAATCCATGGGGTGCCAAAGCAAATAAAGAGCAGTCAACCTCAAATCGTATAGCAAGAGGGGAAAAAAAGAAAAGTCCTTCTGAGGACTGCATCATGGAGAAGGTCTAAACTCGCAGCCCCTTTTTTTTATTTTGGTTGGGGATTGGATCAGTTTTAGGAGGCTGTGCCAAGTGGGGAGTGTAAGCAAAAATTTAAAGCACTCTTTTCAAACCAGCTCACCCCAAATGTATCCTGGCCCTGTCCACATTTAGAATGTGGCCCTCAATATACTGTGGGGGCAACTGAAAGAGGTCACTACAGGCTTTTCCCAGAAATAACGGGAAGGAATAAGAAAAATCATTTGCCTGAAACTACAGTACTCTTCCCAGGGCTCCAATGAACCTGGAACTCAGGTTTCCCAGAGGGGATTTGAAGATCAGCTAGACCATATGAATAAACAAAGCTTCTTGTTATGCAAGTATTTGCTTCTGTGCACAATCTCCCCCGCCCCCTCAACATTGCCCTTCTGTTTCCAGCCATTAGGACGCTGCCATGTGCTCTGCTTTTGATTCCAGTGGTGATGAGTGATGAGCGTGCTCCTGATTAAATTGTTGCTGCAGTCCATTGTTCAACATTGCCAGAGATTTGTTATAGCAGAGAGCCCTGATTATTGCCACTTCTGCGCTTAACAGCAAAAACAGTCACTGATTGCTGAAGGGGAAGAGAAAGGAGTTAGATAATTTGATAATAGGACAGTGTGTTAAGGACAAGCTCCGGCAGACTGGAAAACACAGAGTATCACTAAGAATTTATTTTATTTATTTTTTTTGTACTCTTGCAATGACTTCCGCCTCTTGATTTTTAGTCTTTAATTTTTCTTAATTTTTAGTCATTTTGAATTATCTTTTTATCCTGCTGTAAGCTACCCAGATGAATTGCATATCGTGAGATGAATGGCATGTAAATTTAATAAATAAATATAAATAAATAAATAAATTCGGCCCTCCATGCACAGAGGGCTGTGGAGCCAAGCAGTGAAGACATTATGATGAATTGAGTATAGCCAACAAGTTGACTGTGCTATTCTGTCTGCATGAAGGGAGGAAGTGGACTTCTGGATTTATTTAATTCAGCTTTCTCCGTATTATTTTATAGTTATCTGTTCTAAATTCAGGCTCTTTCTTTGTTTCTTGTTCCCATCTCCATTTTGCATTTCCTGCCCTATTCTTGCTTGTTTCCTGATGGTCCTCAGGCTGCCAAACTTCCAATGTCTATAATAATTGTGGGTGTTGGACAGGCTGAATTCGATGGTAAGAATCTATGTTGTGTTACCTTGTTTCCAGATATGATATATGATATATGAGAATATATATATATTATTCTGTTGAGAGCTAGTAGGGATATACTAGGCTGATATAAATTCAGTTCTGCACTTAATCAACAGCCATGGGTATTCATTAGGGAGGAGGTGATATCATGTGCATCATGATGTCATTACACAAATGAACAAGCTGTGCCTTTTCCATCACTTACGTGATGCCATTGTGGCATACATGATGTCATCATGACTCTCTGCAGATGTCTGTAGCAGTGGCAATCAACATTGCAATGCCCATAAACATAGCAAGACAGAAATTGGTTTCATACAACATTAGACTTGATTAAACTTCATATCTTCATGTGAGCACAGAATGTCTTTAGGCCAGTTTCTTTCTTGGTCAGCCTAACTATTTTACAGAACTATTACTGTGAGAATCCGGCTAGGAGAGTTTCCCATGTGTAATCTTTAGCTCCCAGAGAAAAGATGGAATATAAACACAATAATATATTAAGACAAACCTTACTTAAATAAACCAATACATAGATTAGAGCAATGGATTATATTGCCATCTCTTTAAACAGTTTATTTCATGATCAGATCTTTCGGGAAGATCTTTTGGGATCTAGAAATATATTTTACCTCTGTAATGTATGTAATGTGCAACAACATGTGTCTTAAATTCTTGTCACCCAATACTTTGGATACGGATATTGAAAATAAAAGTATCTAAAGAAATTAGAACAATTAGTAGATATACATTTCTGTGATTAAAGATTAGAACAGACATCTTAGCTTCTTTTAATGAAATATGATTTGTGAAATAAAGTATATACAGCATTTAAGGCTCTACAGAGCAGCTGTTAAAATCTGTCATGTATTTTCTTGAGCTTCCAATTAACAACTTTTAAGCCTCCTATTGATAGTCTTCTGTGCAAGAACTATTATTTGCTGAAAATCTGAATAACGTAGTTCAACAGGTAAAAGTGTAATGACTTAATTATACTTTGTGGAGAAGAATGGGGCCTCACATTAATTGATTCATTAAGAAAGCAAGTTGCAACATGCAAAGAGAATATTCAGTATATGATTCCAGTTCAACTCTTTGAAAGAAAAGAGTAGTGCTATTTTTTATTTTTTTTAAAAAAACATCATTAATCAATTAGTTGTTTGTGACACAAGCAAATTTTTGGAGCTTTTGGCTCTTCACTGTCTTGTTCCCATTGGATGTTTAATATTTGATAAACATTCATTTCCCTTTCCTCCAATGGACAGCAATGGTGGAATTGGATGGAGATGATGTTCGGATCACATCTCGTGGAAGGACTGCTGAGCGTGATATTGTCCAGGTATTTAGAAGAGAGCAATGAAGTTTTATTGTGCACATTCATTAGCCAATATGGAATTGTAAGGCTTGCTGCAAAGCTGAATCTCCAATCTTGAAAGCCAGGTCATTTCTCAGTGAGGTTTTTTCCTAACATTTTTAGAATATTCAAATCTCAGATTATGTGTGAGCAACAATAGCCACCTTGCAAATTCCCTGAACAAAATGTGTCAAACCCTGGATAAATAGTTTTCTTTTCCACAGCCTACTCAGTCTAATGGACATGGAAACATTCTAGTTTTGGATCACTATGGAAAGGAAACAACTCTCAGAATAAGGTCTCATTGGGAGAGTACGTGTTTACATAGAGAAATCTCCAAACTTAATACATGATATAAAAGTTGTCTACATGGAACAGTGGAGAGTTAATAGACAAAGATTTGTTGTGGTATAAAGTAGTTCTTGTACTCCTAATTTTTATTTACACTCAAAGAGGAATTAAACAAAGATAACCTTCTGAAACTGTAGCAAATTTTGAATTTGCAAGCATGACATGGGGGATGCTCATTCAAGGATTATTGTTATAGACATGGCCAGCAGTAAAAAATACCCTTATCAAACTAGTATAATTAACACCCCATTCCTGACTAGCTCCCTAAGATGTTATTTCCCAGTCTAGTATTTTAAAGATAATTTAATAATTATGGGGATATTAAGGCCTTGGCTATGATGTAGCATAGCCTGGCCACTTTTTTAAATTTATCTAAGATTAGTGAATTCTCTTAACAAATTTCTGTCTCTATTGAAGTATTTCAGCTGGGAAGTTTGAGCACAATAAGTAGCTGGAGTATTTAAATACATTACCTTTTACATTACTTTGTGATGCTGTCTAAATGTTGATATCTCTCTCTCTCAGTTTGTACCATTCCGTGATTACATTGACCGCACGGGAAACCACGTCTTGAGTATGGCACGGCTGGCTAAGGACGTGCTGGCTGAGATTCCAGATCAGTTCATCTCCTACATGAAGGGGCGTGGCATCAAGCCTAATCCAGCTCCACCTCCTTACTCTCCCTCAAGCCACACCCTTCAGACCGAAATCTGAAGATCGGGCAAAGAAAAGAGTGATTTTAGAGAGAGAGAGGCATCGAAACACCCAGTCACTCTTCGGGGTCTGTTTATCTGTTTTCTGGGGCCAGAGATCCAGGCAGTATCCACACCAGAGTGAGAAACTCCACAATGTGTTCTCTTTCCAAAAAGTTCATATTGAGAACTGTTTATGCTGAAATGTTAGCACAAAAATGTGTTTAACTCACAGACATTTCCATTTGGGAAACAGCAAAAATGGGAGGGGTATTTTTTAAAAAGGACACACTCAAACATAGGTAAATGTCCTCATTTCCTTTCAGCAAAATAAACAAGATGGAGTCTAGTGTGTCTTCTGGAAGTTACATGATTCATTTTGCTTATGGTATGTGTGATGGATTTCCATAAATCTTCCAAGCACCCATTTCCCTTCCTCCTTCCAGCTTCAAGAAGTTTTGAATTATTGGAATTTTTTATAGCCTATGTATCATCCGCCTGCCACATTAGGCCTTCTGTCTTTCCTTTGTAACAGCTCAACTTCTGGATTGACTTGGCAGGCTAAATATTGTGATTGAATATCTGTTTGATGTCATGTTGGTGCTGCTACTATTTCTTGTACTAAACCCAATCCCTAGCTTGCCCAATTCCCTTTATTGTTTGTAAATCTGCTTTGGCAATATTTGTGCAAGCTTGGATTGTTTATTAGTATGTCTTAATGCCTCCCTTAAGTCTCTTTTTTAATTTTTCTAAAGCTGCGGTTTCCAGTATCTACCTGGAAACCAATTTCTCTCTTGACTTTGATATCTGACATTTCTGTGTGGGGCATTAATGATGTATTTGGAACATCAGAGAAGAAAATTAAAACTGAGCTTGATTTGTTTAAATACCTTATTGCAGTTTTGCCTATCAGGTTAGCAATATAAAACATTAACAACAGTCTACTCATTCAGAGCAAATGTAGAGCTGCCACATGAAAACATGAAACTGTCCAAATTTCATAATTTCCCAGCAATTTCTCAGCAGTTCATTCTTTTCTGGAGGAAACTAAAATCATAGAGTTTGAAGGGATCATGGAAATCTTCAACCACCTGCCTTAGGGCAGAAATCCTCTCACATCCCTGATAAATGGCTGTCCAATCTTTGCTTGAAAACCTGCACTGATGGAGACCCCATGAGCCCCATTATGCTTAGCCCAATCCTTTCACTAAGACCAGATGGAAAGCCTATTTGGATCCCGCTCATGAATAATGTCCCTCAGTGGCAGCAGGTAAACTTCCTCTTACTCATAATTGCTTGCCCATCTTAAGACTCCTTCCAGCTTTCCAGACCCAATTTTTGCATTGCTATTATGATCCAATTATACAACCACTCTGGTAGTTGGGGTTCTCTTTCCATAGCAGAACTAGCTAGGGAACAGTTCCCTCTCCAATGATGATATCTAAATTGTTTCCAGAAAGTAGGAAGGTGAACGGCAGAGGTCAGAAATGACATCAAAGATTATGCAATGTTCCTTCTCAGGGTTAAGTGCAAGAATGGAAGTTTCTGAGGATTTGAGTATATTGATTATATAGGCCAATTAAAAGAAAAATTATGCTGAAGTAAATGTTGATTCTCACTTCGCAAAGGATGTACTACTTTGCTTAATTATTTGGAGCATCTCAAATATTCCACCACCACCTCCTTTTAACTGACTGCTTTGTAGAAGTTCAAAGAAGGTCCACTTCAGAGAACTCACTCTTTGAATCTTTCTGATCTGTTAATAAGATTTGCATTGCAGCTGGCTGGTATTTTTGCTCAATTGTAGGGAGAGTGAAAGAAGTATTAAGCAGGAGCTGAGCAATTATGCCCAGCTGTCTCCTTTAGAGTGGTAAAAAAAACATGATACAAGTTGCAAGGCACTTTCTTGTCCTACAACTAATTTGTTTAGGGTTGATCAAAAGGTACGTTAACATCTTAGGGATTCTCAGATTCTATATACTGGAACATCATTCAGCTCCTCCAATTAGTATGGCAAGAGTGTGCATCTTCCATTAGCCATCAGCCATGTTGGTCTTTGCACAGCACATACTTCCAAAATGGGTGGATCCAGGACCTATTCTGGGAGAAGATTCAGGGAATATAAGGAATAATGTCATGGGTGCTATAATCATCAAGATTTAAGGTATCTATTTTGGCCCCAATGTAAATGAAAATTCAAGGATTTGGGCCCTCTTGCTCTACTGGGTCATGAGGGCCACTGAAAGAATGGTGGGAGCTGTAATTTTTTTTCTTTTTGCTTCACTGATCTGAGGGACAAAGGAGTTTACACACTTAAGAACATGTGAGATCATATGAACCAGTTGGTCCATGACAGTTGTGGTCCAGAAGTTCCTCTGTTTAAAATATCTCATGTACCTGAAATAAGACAAGTTCCACTGTAAATAGGAATAGCAACAGGATATCACAAACTTCTGTAGAAGCCTGGTGTCCTAATTATTACATGATGTCTTTCAGGTAATATAACCATCAAGTAAATTGGCACAAGGCAGATTAACCCAGGGATTGGAATGAAAGAAGAAGTCCCTATCTGTGGATCAAAGATGCCTTTATTGATTACGTTATTCCCCAATAGAGATGTGATACAGAATTAGGAGAAAAGACATGCAGTGTCCTTTCTTGCCATTTCGGCTATTTTGGATCCAGTTTATGGCTGTCTAAGTGGTTTTACTTGGCCACTTATCTTTATAAAACCCATTATGTGCTAGTGGTTGTCTTATCCATAAACTAGTCAACATTTTTTTAAAAAAAATTTTTTCCAGAGTTCAGTAGTGGGGTTCTTTTGGTGCTTACTGAAAATTGCTGGATTTAGGCAGCTGATAATGACTGACAGTCTGCTCAGTCCTGATCCTCTGTTGACCCCCAACTAGTTGGTGAAATTAACTTCAGCTAGAAATTCTTGGACCGAGGCTGGAATTATTATGTAAAACTATCTAGCCCATATGCTGAATGACATAAACTCAGGGAGAAATCCTGAACTATTTACAGTGAATGAGAGTTCTATTTTTCACTTTGCTTTTGGCTGTGAATTATATCCCAGAAATATAACTTGCACAGCTATATGGTCTTCCAACCCTCAAAAGAAATTAATTTCTTTGTCTTAGCGCTATACAGACATTTCTCTCGCCCTCCCTGTCCTTTTTCAGAATGAAAAGCTTCCAAAGGAAACAGTGGGAAATACTGTGGCCCAAATACTGAATGAGCAGAATGTCTGTGCATGCTGGTTGTACCCCGTCTTCTATCTGTGCATTACTGACATCAGTAAAAGTAACTGGTAGATATTATTTACTCTGCAGTTCCCTATACTGCATCTTTGTAAAAGCATGGTGAAGCATGTCAGAACAGTCTTGTCCTCACTTGTGTGAGTGGAAGAGCAAGAAAACCTACATCGTGCAAACTGGTGCTCCATTGAGTAAAGATGCAATGCTAGCGAGAGAAAGTTATCTGACGTAAAAATCAGCTTTTTAGGTGGGCGCAAGTACTGAAACTCAGCCCCATAGAATAGCTCTGAGTTGTAATGGAAACAATGACATTTTTTTTTTAGGCAATCTTTTGAAGACATGAAGTAAGGCTGTTGAACAATGCAGTCTATTGCCCAGATCAAAATATCATCTACTTACCTAAATTTCTTACAATCACCCAGCATGATTTTACCTATCTCATTTTCTTTTTCCATTCATAGCTCTTTTTATTTGCATGGCAATGACTTTTATCTCTTTTATGCTACGATATTCTATGTTGAATGTTTGATGTAATATGGTTTCTATTGGATTGCCTTAAATTGAAATAAACGATTCCTTTTATTTAAATAGCATGGAAGTGAGCATAATTTGTGAAGGTTATTAGATGCCGATTGCAAAATTGTAGAGGACAAGTTGGAAAAATCATTTCAGGAGAGACAATGGTGTTATATTGCATACACTGAAAAGAAGCAGATTATAGAAGAAATCTTTTGGAGACATAATTATTACTGATACTTTTTCCTCCTTGTTTCTGGGGTATGTGCAGAAACTTTGAACAACTCCTGAAAGAATAAACATTTGCACATTCATCCAAACAGTAATTAAAATATGCTTTATAACATAACTCAATGAGTGTCTACCGGAACATACAATACTGTACAACAGCTTTAACCTAGGTACAGTGATGGTTACTAAGAGCAGATGTCAATTAACAGCTGTTCAATTATTATAATTAGACTAAACGTGGAGGCAGAATTTAAATGATATGAAATCAGGACGGAGAAGTTCAGTTTGTAACCCTTTCTATCTTTAAAGGAAATACATTTAGAGAAAGGGCCTTTTGACACAATTTGTGTTGACACATAGAATTTGAATGTGCTTGAAACAGGATAAGAATAAGATACAGTACTTAGTAATATTTGAAATGAGAAACAACAACTTTGAATTTCAAATGAGATGGTGTGGACTTGAAAGTTTTCCAAAGCTGGAAAACATCAGTCTCAAGTTTGAAATACCTCAAAATTACCCAAATAGACTCTTTTAAATGCAAAACGAGTGATTGAAGATGAAAGCTGCTGTTTTCAACTCAAAATGGAGCATTTTGAAATAGAAATTGTTCAAATTGGAAAGGTTTTGCGTAAGTCCAGAATTTAATTTTAAGTCTTAACTATAGCTATTTACTGGGTAATATCAGGTATGACTTGTAATGTATTCTTAACAAAGGCCAGTATTTCTATTTTTCCTTAAAAGTAGAACTGGTAAAGACAAGGTCCTAGACAGTGGTGAAGAGAGATCCTGATGCAAGACAGTTTGACTTTAAAGCTTCTTATCCTCCGGATAAGGGGGCACAATGGCTCAAGAGTTAAAGAGGCTGAGCTTGTCAGTAAAGCTGACAGCCTAGGTTCGAGACCCGAGCACTGTGCGATGGGGTGAGCTCTCATCCCATCACACTGCCCCAACATCTGCCAACCTAGTAGTTCAGAAGCGTGCAAATGTGAGTAGATAAATAGGTACCACTTCGGTGGGAAGGTAACATTCCATGTACCTTGACATTTAGTCATGGTGGCCACATGACCACAAAAATGCATTCAGACAATGCTGGCTTCCTCAATAAGAAGGTGATGAGTATCGCCCCTAGAGTTGGACATGACTAGACAGGGGAAATCTTTACCTTTGCTTTATCCCCTAGGTAAATTAAAATCTTAGGGCTTGAAAATTCATGTTATAGAACAAAATTGTTGAACACTTTTGAGGTTGTTCAGTGTAAACTTTAAATCATTGAGAGGTTTAAACTTTAAAGCATTGAGATCAATATGGTATACCTTGGACAACTGACACTACTGAATTCACACAGGTCAATGTGCAATAATATTCAAAAGGACTGTGGCTGCCTGCAAATTGCTGTGTTTCTGTTCATGAAAAACTTAACTTATTATGGCTTCACAACATGCTAATTGACTGTAAGAAGCACACACATACATACTGCTGGCATTGGGAAGAAAATTAGGCACCATAGAAGACTGGTATTGAAATAAAGAACATGAAAGAATAAGACAAACAAACACGAAAGATTTGAAATGCAGCAAGTGGACTTATATTTTAAAAGATCTATATTCTCTCCCTCTAGAGTGCTGGACATTTATACTTCTAGAATAATGGCCTCCCAATTTGATATTTTAGATTGTACAATCTCTCTGCACATAGTCAATGCAATACACATCAATCATTAAACACAAAGCTCCTCTCTGGATCTCACTTGCTCTAAAATGTTAAGACAACTCAAGAAATGTCTTTCAGGATGGTATCAGGAGCTGTTATTGAGAAAACAGAATCAAAGAGAGAGATTGGCATGTTGTACACCTGATGTAGAATATCAAGGAAAACCTTGATCCTATGAGGAGAGTCCACGGAACCAGTTTCCCCCTTCATTTTTAAAGCAGCATTTTGACATATTGCCTAATTCCTAATTTTCAGACACTCATTCTAGAATGATAATGTAATACAGTGTAGCAAAAATCTAGAAGATGGTAATTTTCTAAACCAAGGGTCTTTAAAGTTGGCAATTTTAAGACTTGTGGACTTCAACCCCAGAATTCTGCAGCCAGGCAGGCTGAGGAATTCTGAGAGTTGAGGTCCACAAGTCTTAAAATTGCCAACTTTAAAGACCCCTGCTCTAGAACAACATGAAGAACAGTGCACTAACTAGTAACTTAAGTAACACAATTCCACCATAATACTAATGCAATACAGACTTAAGAATTAAAATCATTCGGTACAGAAACTAAAATCATATCCTCCAAATGACATTGGGATCAAAACAAAAGCTTACAAAATTTAAAGAAGAAGAAAAAACGAACTTGAGCCTGGCACTCAAAAAAAAAAAATCAATTTTGGTGCCAGATGAGCTTCTGCTACAGTGAGAAGTACTTGTTTTGTGTCTTTGTCTGTGTTGGCTTCTGGCAACTGTTTTCTTGGCAAGATTTTAGAAGTTGCCTGCTTCCTAGAGCTAAGAGGGAGTGTGTGGCTCAAGGTCATTCAGCTGATTTAGTGCCTAAGGTGGGACTAGAACTCAGTCTCCTGGTTGCCTTAATCATTGTGTCAAACTGCCTCTCAAGAAGGTAGGGTTACCCCTAAAAATCCCTCTCTAAAGTTATCATCCTTAGAACTCAACAAAGAGAGGTCCTATGAGCAAGATCATGCAAAGACCATGTTTTTAATGCAAAAATAGGTACATAAGCAAGAAGCATCATTATGCAAACAGTCCTTTGCATTGAGTTTGGAACAAATCAGCTGCCTGGGTAGCTGAGATACTTTTGACTAGATGATTGGGTACATTTTTTTATTTTCCAAACTTTTGGATGATTACATTTATACTCAATGAATGGTCCAGAACAAAATGTATTAAAATCCAGATTTAAGATTTCTCTGATCTTGGATCTTGCAGGTCAGGAAGAGTGTTTTGATCTGCAGTTTTCCAGACTTTGAATGGGAATTCTTAGCTTGGAAAGCTCCCAGAGAGTCCATGTCTTGGATGGGATTTGGGAAAGGAGATCAGAATCCAAAGGATTCTACATGTTGCTCTTAATCTATTAGCACATTTCCAACCTCAGACGGATGTCAACTGGTCATATGAGATGAACAGCCCCAAAGTAACTCCATGAGTTCAAAGGGATTCACTTGAAGTATGAATTCTAATGCACATAAACATGCAGCTTTTCAGCCTGCCAAATTCAATTACATAAACTAGGCAATATTTATCATCACAAAAAAACTATTAACAATTGTTGTTTAGACATTTATACATACTGATGCTTATTACACACAAGCTGAAAGCTCCAATTCAGAATCTCTGAAAAGTAGAGAAGGCAAAATATCATAATTAAGGCCCTTAGAAATAAGGAGCTGTTAACCAAAAAAGAATAAGGATAATTTGAACCACACATAAAACTGAACATATTAAATATTGTGGGAAAATAATTAAGAAATATTAAACATTTATTTATTTATTTATTTATTTATTTATTTATTTATTTATTTATTTATTTTGTCGCATTTCTATGCCGCCCAACTCCCAAGGGACTCTGGGCGGCTTACAACAAAGCCTATGATTTCTAGGGAAATGCACCAATATGAGACTATTAAGCAACACCTACAGCTTGTGCAGTTCCCAGCTGGCCTTGGCTGACCTCTGAAAATTAAGCAAAGTCAGACTGGATTAGCACTTGGATGAGAAACCACTATTCACTATTCACTCCCACCCTCCAAAATACTAGGCAATGGTATGATGCGCAGAAAAAACTGACAAAACTTTGATCATGGCTGCCATCTTGACTTTTTTGACCACATCCTATGAACACCCTTGCAATGCAAGGGAATTGAAACAAAACATTCTGTGAGAAGACAATGTGTAACCGCTCCCAACACAATTTGTAAGAGTGTACTTTTAATTAAAACACATGATGTTAATCTGCACTGCAGACCTGAATCGATTTGATACATTAAGCATACTACCAAGCAGAAATCTAGCATTTAAGTGGAAACTAGCTCTTAAGAGGGAGGGATGTCAAAGAATTAATTGATGAGGATTTTACTGGTGAAATGTATTTGTATAAATATTTCATAAATGGCAAAGTTGTTGTGGGCAGGGTGCAAACAAGAGGGCAACTATCTGGCTGCTTGCAATTCCAAAGGAGCTTTTGAAATTATGAAAGCAGTTTTTGTGTATGAGGGTGAGAGACAGTAAAACACATGAGGGGATCTGTTGAATTAAAAACAGCAGGAAGTATCAAAACCAAAACATGAAAGGGGAGGAGGAATGAAGAAAAATAAATAATAGGTTCACCCAGTGAAGTTTTTCTCATACTGTCTGCCACTGTGGGCCATTAAATCAGCAATCAGCAGGGATGCCCTGCTTAAATAAACATTGCTGCCTATACTTTCATTTGTAAAGTAGGAGAAAGGCCCTGTTTCGTGAAGAAGATTTTAGGTGCATATATGTATGCTATTCCATCGTCTCCATTTCAACATAGCTTATTAAAGCTAAATTTGATATATATTTGATTGACCACTTGAGATGAGGGAAGAGGCTTCCAATGGGTTATGGTCAGTGAATGCAAGGGGCAACAAAGAATTATAGTAGCAATTTTTTTTTTTGGTCTCTCTCTGCTGCCATCTGGTAGTCATCTGAAGGTCCGGTAATAATAGATTCACTCAAGAAGTTTACTTGGAGGTAAACTTATTTATTTACATAAATATTTTTTAATGGATGGATGGGTGGATGGACAGATAACATGCTAAACTATTTTAAGCAAAGATTCCTTAAACAAATGAATGGTACATCATGGCTTAC